TTTGGTAAAACCCAAGTCCATGATCAAGTCACCCCTTAACCTTTACTTTAAAAAGCCAAATAGACTGAGTTCCTTCAGCCTTTCACTATTAAGGCATGTTTTTCATTTCTTTAATAATTTTCATGAATCTTCTCTGAACCCTCTTATTTTTCAGCATCTTTGAATTGTGCATATCAGACCTCGACACAGTATTCCAACTAGGGTATTTATTTAAATGGACCAACTATATCAACCCCATCACATCTATGATCACAGTAAGTCAAAATATTTATGTATTTATATGTATTTACTGTGATCTGCCAATAAAAACAGTTCATTGTAAATCCGAACTAGAGAAATAAAATTATAGGTTCATGTTTCAGTGAAGAAGGGCCAGTCAGACACAAGTACAATTTACTGACTGCAAAAAATAAACATTTGTCATTTGCCTATGGTGAAACCTAAAAAGAAAGAGGAATTATTTATAAAATCTCCCAACCTGGCAACCACTTGACCACTACTGGAAGTAGCTGAAAGAAGAGAGAGAGAGAAAAAAAGTTGTGTTGGAGCCAGAAAATTCAATGCCATGTATGGTAGCATTGCTTTTTACAACAAACTTGCCAGGCCAGGCCTAAGGTTAGCTATTAATGCCTTCACATCTGGAAACCTAACTTAGGTGCCTGGAAGTCCAACAGAAATCTGAGAAAGAAAAACACTGCCTGCTACAAATAAAAGCCAAGAGATACCATTTTGCATCACAGTATGTTGGAAATACACTGGCAAAACAACAGATTGAACTAAAATTTTAACACTAAATTTCAGATGTGTCTACCATGTCTTTAGTCTTACTATGATCATCATTTAGTATTTGTAATAAATACTTCAGAGCCCTAATCATGCACTAGGACCCTGTTGTGTTAGGTGCCCAACAAACACAATAAAAAGACAGTCCCTACTGCAAAGAGCTAACAAGTTAAGTAAAGAGACAATGGAGGAATAGACAGACAGACAAAGGAGTACGTGTGAACAATGAGTCAATATTGCCAGCAAGATAGACAGCTATCTTAGCACACAATGCATAGCCTCTGCTGTGTGTTTTGTAAGCATCACAGAAAAAGAGAACTTAAGGAGGGCTTTGAAGGAGGAGTAGTTTTGCAGATATTTACAGAGCATTTCCTCGGCGTAAAGGGCAATATGGGAGAAAACACAAATGTGCTTTCTTGAAAATTTAATTAAGTGGGCAAAGGAGGTTGCCATCATGGGCCGATCAGAAGTGAGTGTGGACTGCGAATGAGAATGATATGCAAGGTGGGGAGTGATTGGGAAGGGTCTTCAAAGTGAACACAGGCAGCTTATGTTTAATGTGATGGAGAGGGAGAACCACTGCAGAGATTTACTGAAGAAAGAATCTGCTGCTTGTTCTAAAATCCGAGGCCTGATCCACACTAAAAAATGAAATCATCTTCATTATGTCACTCTGGGGTGTGAAAAGTCCATACCCTGAGTGGCACTATTTAGCTGTTCTAGCCCCTCTCCCCACGTAGAGAGCACTAGATAACACAAGAATTCATTCAGTAACCTAGCTACCATATCTTGGCCAGGTGAATTACTTATCCTGAAGGAAGAACCCTTCATATTGGCATATGTAGAGTCTAAACTGAAGCACTAGAGCAGGTCAACTCAACACGCAGCCCATGGCCTGTTTGTTTGCGGCCTGCGGTACAGTTTGAGTTTACATGGGGCTCAACATGCGGCCTGCGGGTGGAATCCTTTGAAGATGGCCTCCACTGGCAATACACACTGCAACGGTGAGTCAATATAATGGTCTTCTGTTGATATGCATTTTAGTAGTTAAATTCCTGGACTATCATTGCTCATTAAAAGTGATGTCATATGGGTGGAAATAGGGTAAATATTGCATTTTATTAATATCAGCAGAACTTATTTAAATGGGGCTGTGTGTTGTGTAGTCTTGCCTTAATCTTTGTAGTCATACCCATCAGCGTGAAAGAAGCTCTTTGCATATATTTGCATACATATTTGCATGTATATACAACCACACTTAAGTTGCGGCCCTTGGCATGTGCTATATCATTGTGGCCTCCCGGGCTTCCAAACTTGAGTAGCCCTGCACTAGAGCAATGCAGATCTACCCTGTTGTAACAGTCATCAGCATTAAAATCTTTCATGAGAAACTTAAGTTGAAATGTATCAAATGGCTCAGGAGGAAATTCTTGATGTCACTATTTAAATGGCATTTTTAATATAAGCAGTCCTGCAATAGAATAAAACCTAATGGCAGAATGGAAGCTGTCAGATAAGCAGCCACTGGCATTGAGTGATATTTCACACCTAGCAGAATTTAAAATAATAATACCTTATGTTGTCCTGATTATAGGATATGGCTAGGTCCTCTGCACACTAGAAATGGTATCTATAGTATAGACAAGTTAGTGAATCAGATCTATAGAATAGACAAGTTAGTGTCTCAACCGTGCACCCATACTTAAAACCACAGCTTGCTGTCATGTCTTTAAACAATTTCTATGTGAGAACCCTAACTTTGAGTTTCTTCCTCTCAGACAGAGCTTTTTCTTATGTTAATAATAAATAAATATATAGTAACATTATGTCTTTCATCTTCAAGTGATTTTATAAACAATAACAGCAATGCTTCATTTGTGGAACAAGTTAGCCAGATGTCTGCTATTAAGCCAGTAAGAATCACTACACTTTCACTGAATATTTATCATTCACCTATTTATACAATTTATACATTGAAGGCTTAACAATATAGGCCCTTGATTATGCAAAATGCTTAATTTTACACTTGGAAGCAGGCCCATCGCAGTCAGTCTCGTCATATGCAAAAAGTTAAACTATGCAGATTTTCTTAATGAAAATCTTTCAATATTTTGATTGGTGTCACATACTTTGATCACATATCACATGTAAAGCAAGAACACAACAAAGTAAAGTAAGTATACAATAGGGGTACGTTTTAAATATCTGTTTTAAATATACGATTTAAATATCCCACACTTCATTAGCATAAACATGACCTCTGCTTTTTTTTTTTAAATAGAACTTTTTTTGAAAAAAATGGCAGTCTAGATGTGGATCTGTCGAAAATAAACCCTTTTTCGAAAGATCCTGTAAACCTCATTTTTTGAGGAATACAGGATCTTTTGAAAAAGGGTTTATTTTCAACAGATCCACGTCTAGACTGCCTTTTTTTTGAAAAAGCTCCATTTCGGAAAAAAGCAGTGGCCATGTTTATGCTAATGAAGCATATTTAAATCCCTGCTTCATTAGCAATTTTGATGTGCCTAATCTACATCTCTCTGTCGACAAAGAGGTGTAGTCTAGACACGGCCTAGGTGTTTCTGATTGTTTCTGTTTTACTAGCCAAGCTGTACACTCAAATCTCTATGTAGTACTTTTAAATCAAAAAGTCTATTATGCCTACAATATTGATCACACACACTGATAATGAATTATTTAAATTCCCTCCTTTGGCCTCTCAGAAAAACTTCCACAAAAATCCAAACAGCTACAAATATTTAATATGGGACACAAATTTATTGATGGATAGATTCACGATGAAAAGATGTATGTTCTGAAGCACAGGCTGCAATTGGTTTGCAAGATTAAAAGTAAATTGCTAACTTTTTTAGAATAAAATTCGAGTATAGTCTTATTTACCAAGATGCTTCAAAATGCACCAGGAAACATCATTTAGATTGTAAAAGAAAAAGTCCTGGATTTTACTGAGAGTATCAGGAAAAGATATTTTAGTTTAATAATTATTCTGAAAGAGTTAAAATGTTCACAACTGTTATTTCAAAACTTTTCTCTGGTAAAATGGCTTTGAAAATATAAAAATATAGAAAATTGTGGCTCTCTTCCAAGGCATCACTTACACAAGACATAATATAGATAACACAAAGACTATTTTTCATATTTTTACAACCCTCCCCCTCAGTGATCTTGAAATCTTAGAAATGTTTAATTCATTGGCTTCCTTTTGCTTGTTGCTCATAAGTCATGAGACAAAAGCATCTTTTTTCAACAAAGAACTAAAAACTGATATTTTAAAAGTAGGTGAAGTTTGAGATATCTTTAAGAACCCATTTTTTTCAAAAGGGTGTCAGGCATAGTTCTTGCTAAGGTGTGCATCTGCATGGCCATGCACAAAAAATTCTTTCTTCACCCACCTCCTCTGGAGAACTGTGCAGCAGCAGTCTCACACCAGACGGCTGCTCCAGCAGGCGGGGCCGGCTGAGACAGCATGGTGCGGTAGCTGCTGGGCTGAGCGACGGGGCAGGATCTGCCGCCATCATGTATTGGGGGTGAGGCCTGATCTAGTGGTTGGGGCTGCCATGTGGCGGGGGGGAAGGTGCGTGGGCAGGGCTGGTTCTGGCGACTGGGGCCAGGAATGGGATCTGTGGCATGGTGGGGGGAGTGTGTGCGCGCGCGTGCGTGCGCTCCAGCAGCGAGGAACGGGACATGCTCCATGGCTAGGCGGGGTCTGTTCTGACGGCTGGCAATGGGAAATGCTGCATGGCAGGGGTTCTGCTCCAGCGGCCGGGAACGTGTGCGTTGTTAAATTGGGTGCCATGGTGGCACACATCTAAACCAGCACACATGACCTCAGTATTGGTGCACAAGCCAAAACTCACTCTGCTCATGGTTAGAAAATCTTACAGGGAACACTGGTGTCAGGTGATTAGAGCTCTGTATCCACATCCACATCTGTATCTGCAAAAATGAGCTGTGGATATTCTCAATGACATCCGCAGATTTGGATACTCATGGTGGTAAAGCAGATATCTGCAAATTCTAAATACAAAATTTGTATATGCAAAAATGAGCTGTGGATAGCCATATCCATGGATATAAAGTGTGTATCTGCAGATCTGCAGGTCTCTACAGATGAACCAAGAAGTAACAGCCCCTCATATCAAGATAAGTCTTCTCAATGGCATGACGGCTGAAGTTTGTCTTGTAAATGCACTTACCTAAATTGCTATATGTAGCACTGAAAGGGCTCAAGTCAGAAGAATCTGATGTTTCCTCCTTTTCTTCCTCCTCCTGTTGGACATGGTTAGTTGACACTGGTATAACAGAGGTACTGTCACCAATATCCTGCTTCACAAAAACAGCTCTTGGAATCTGAGGAGATAAATCTTCCACCGTAGTCTCAGCTGGCACTTGACTGAAACAAACAAACAAAATTCACCTGGCAACTAAAGGTACTAATATGGTATCAGTAAAACATAGTTTTGGAATTATACAATACTTTTGCCTAAAAGGCAAAGAACTGGGAAATGGAAACAAAAAATGTGTCCCTTTCACCTTTCCAAATATTTTACAATTATTTTTCTAGCAAGTTTTTTCTGTCTCTTCACTAAGGTGCATTCACTTTTCACTACAGTATCAATGATAAAAAACATCTTTCGTACAAAAGTGTCACAAAATGTTTCAGACAACTGAGTGTAGTCAATACATGTAAGTACATGTAATGCACAGAGATAATACTCTATATCATACAGCAGCTGTACAATTTATAGAACAGCAACAGTTATTAAGGGTATTTTTTTAAGCCAATTAGAAGGATTTTGCTTTAATGAGAGTCATACATTTACACACAGGAGAATACTCCTAAACTCTTTAGGATAGAGGTAGGGAAACCTTTTTTATGTCAGGGTAGTAGAGATTCGGTGTGTCCTAGGCCTGCAGAGGGCAGCAGGGGGGCTGGAGCACCAGCGTAGGCTCTCTCATTCGGGGAGGAGGGGTGCTAAGCCTTGGGGGCCAGATCCAGGCAAGCCGGGGCTGCATCCAATCTTTGAGCCTGAGGTTTCCCACCCTGTTTTAGGAAATGCATAAAACTTTAAAGCTACATTTTCAAATTCTGGCAACACAATAGGAATTATCACACTGGAATACAGACCAATAGTCCATCTAATCTAGCATTCTGTCTCCCTAGCGACCTACACAAAATATACCTGAAGATTAAAATGCAGCCACTGATGTTTATATCAAGAATGGTAGGGGGGATTCTTTCTCCTACCCTGCTTGTAACTGGTGGGAGTCATCTTAATCAAATAATCACCTTACAAGTATAATATTTATTGTAGATAGTTTAAAAATGATGCAAAATATATAACAAATAAAAATTAGTCCTGGCCAGGTTTAAGCACTGAATTGTTGACTATTGCATTACGCCAGTGATTGTCAATGATGGTACCATTTGTAACACTGAAGATAATGGTTAATTACATTTCTGTATCTACACACTCATTAGAATCAACTTCTGAGAACAAAATCTCAGTAGCTCTTCATGATTTGGGCCTGGTCCTGAAAAAACAGAGAACCCCTAAATTCCACTGATTTCAATTAAGGTTTAGGGCAGGCACTTCCTCAAGGAGAGACTCAGGCCAAGTCTATACTTACTGTGCCAGAGAGCGATCTTCTGGTGTTCGATTTAGTGGGTCTAGTAAAGACTCGCTAAATCAAATGCTGAGGGTGCCCCTGGTAGGTGCTGATACTCCTTGCAGTTACTAGGAGTAAGGGAAGCCGAATGGAGCATTTGCTCTGGTTGACCTCCGACTGTGAAGGCAGTGTCAAGTTTGGCTTAATATATGTCGACTACAACTTTGTTATTTACATAGCTGAAGATGTGTACCTTATACCATCCTTCAGGTCTAGGATAGATCTGGCCTTAGAACGTTCCATGATCTGGCCCTATAGATGTATACAAGTGTAGGTTTTCAAATCCAATCCAAACTTTTGATAAGATGGAATAAATATATATCTTGTTAACCTGCCGCATTGTGTTTGTGTACACCGCATAGCAGCTAATTTTCCATGATATACTAATGATCTTACATTTGCACATCCGAAGGAAGGATTGAGCCCTTACAGACTTGTCGTACATTGTAAAAAGCATTTCTACACCAATCCAAAGCTGACTGGCCATAAGAGTTCAAAAGTCTCCCAACCGTTCATAACTCAGACTACAAACACTAAAACATGCTTATATTTTATATAAGAAAATTTCATGTATAGTAGGCACATGGTATTTCAGATTTCATACTTTTGGAATTTTAAGTGCAGATTTATAAAAAACAAGCACTATCAAAACATAGTAGTAACAGAGCAGAGACAAAAGGGCAAAGTCCAAAAAGCTGAAGTTTTAATTATTTAGTGTCAAAATCATCAATCACTTTTTATTAACATGCATGTGAATGGTGAAAAAAAGCACATTATGGGCATCAAAATAAGTGCATATTAAAGAGTTAACCAAAGGCGTTTAAAAATTAAAACACATTATATCAAAGCTGTAACAAGGTTCTTTAAATCAAAGGAATCATTTTAAACACACGAGGTTATCTTATCACCAACAAATCTTATACAGACCTCTATGTACCTCTCCAATAAAAATACATTTGTTCAAAATGTATAGCCTATAACAGATCTGCTATTCTGATACTACCATGTAATAGAAATTCTCGTATCTCATAAAACAATTTTAGTATTGATTGGTGAGGTACAGAATAGACTCATTCCCAGTCTCAGACACATGCATGCACATACAATAAATCTAAGTTCAGAAGCTTTTGCCAAACAAAGAATATCAACAGCTAGAGAGAGAGGAAAAAAAATGAACTCACCCACTATACTCACTCACACAATTCCCCATTAAAGGAAATTCTTTTAGAGCCTTCTTGAGTCTTTTAATCATGTCTTGAAACTCTGGTGAACCATTGATTCCACAGTGTGCAAGCTATGAGCAACAAGGCTGAACTCCGCACACAGTGATATCATTTACTGCACCTTGATGTTTATTTTAGGGGGTTGGTCTGAGGGAGGTGTTAAAATACCTTAAGGAATGTACAGTCATCAAAGTTGTAGCCCAGCCTTCTTAACTCCCTCACTGCCGTGACACATGATATGTACTTTACATTCTGCCAAGTATGTTCGCAGTCACATTAACTAGTAAGAATAGTTTCAATGGTCACTAACACCACATATATTGTAAGCCATTAAAGTGCTCAAAATTATCCTAACTTTAAAAGTACATGAACATTTTAATCGGTGTTCAAAGTGATACTAATATTTAAAAAAAATAAATGATTTATTTGAAAATGGCAGCAATGAGATGTCAGTTTGCAACACTTTGGAGAAAGCATCTCTCTTCTTATGGGAGAAAGGGAGAGATTCTGAGTGATCAAGCTAAGACACTTTATACTGCCTCACCTAGCTGTTTAATGAAAGGTCAAATCTAACACCACCCACAAAAGACAGAAGTAGGAATACAGAAAAATGGAAATAATTCCTCACTACTAATTAATCCACACAGATCACTTGGAACTAGGGATGTAAGTGACCAGTCGACAACCCGATAAGCAAATGTAGGAACTCAACTAGTCGCTAACTCCCACCCCTTGCTGCCTCCATCAGAGAGAAGCAGCAAGTGGGGGAGCATGAGCCGGTGCTGGGAGGAGCTGGTTTAAAAGCCAGTTTCCCCCCCATCAGCACCGTTTCCATTGGGGGCTGGGGAAGTAGGGGGCAGCAGGGAAACAGCACAAGAGGGGATTAAAACAGTCCTGCTCATGCCAGTCCCACTGCTGCTCCTCTCCCTTTGGAATGTACAAGAGCCACCTGCAGCTCCTGTGCATTTCAAAGGAAGAGGCACAGAGGGGAAACCGTGCCAGTGGGGACTGCTTTGCTCCCTGCTGGGGTGGAAAGCCCGCTGCCTGCCTCTCTTTGAAATATACAGGACTTACCACAGCTCTTGTACATTTCAAAGGGAGAAGCACAATGGGATAGCGAGCACTCCCCTTATCGACTAATCGATGGAAATTCCATCAACTACTCAATTAGATGATCAATCAAAATTTAACTTCCCTACTTGGAACCTGTGAATATTTTTGCTTTATCTGGTCATTTAAAATGTAATGTGTTTTGTTAGCTTTCTGGGAAAATATAACACCTATAAAATTACCATGGCAACAGTTGTCCTGAAGATGACTACCTCTTCATACTACTGTGATTATAATGTCCCACTGCACAAGTTAAGAATTTTCTTTAAACCAGTGTCTGCTAAGACCATTTACCCTCTTGCATAGGATTTTGAGGGCACAGAGGCTGTGGACCTAACTTCTCCTCAGATTTTTCACCATATCAGACATTTATGTTATCTGAAAGACTCAGAAGAAATGGACAACACAAGCATTTGGATCATCCATATGGGCAATTTTATTAATGAACCAATTTTATTAATGAACCACAGTGACTACATTAACTGTTTTTTCTTCTTTATTGCCCATATGCTTCCTACACATTTGGATGATTAATAAATCAGTAGTGACCCCTCCAAGAGGTAAGAATCAGAAATATCTACTGTGAGTGAATACAAAATTACTCTGAATTTTGATCAGATCTAGATATCTAGTTGAAGAACTAATTCTGCATAACGATTATACCAAACTGCAAATAATAGCCTTGCATATCAGTGACAGAAATAATAAAAAAATGGAAACTGTCTTAGAACTATTTGAATGTGCTCTGGTATTCCCTGGTGGCTGATAGCTGCAAGATCATAATGTCACATACATGAGAAGGCTCCTGGTCTTCTACTGATGAATTGCATAAAGTCCAAGGAATTCACTGATATGCTTGTTCTATACAGAGTTCTGAAATCCCTCTGGATTTCTAAGGTATAAAGCTGGTATGAAGCCTGAACTCCCCGAAAATGAATAATGTTTGAGGAAAAATACAGGCAAGTTAATGGCCTGAGATGGAAATCAGACATCACTTTAGACAGGAACTTAAAATCAGGATGAAGGATCATCTTATCTTCATGAAACAGAGTAGGGAGGATTAACCACCAGTTTTGTATCTGACTAACTTTATGGGTTTATATTATGGGAATAAGAAAACAAACTGTCATGCTAGATCAAACCAGTAATGCCTGTAGTTGAGTTTCCTGTCTCTGACGTTAGCTAGGAACAGAGGCTTTAGCAGAGGTGAAAGAATTCCATAGTTAACAATTTAGAACTGCCAAGCCATAAAGGAAGTTTGTCGACAGTTTTTTTTAAAATCAGTATTTCTTTTTATCATCATTTTTGTAAATTTGCTACCTTTCAATTTAACTCAGAGTTTCTCAAAGTGGCCCACAAAACCATTTTAAGAAAGCTGCTGACTGGCTGT